GTAAAAGCGCACTTCAATAAGCAGTACCTGAAAATGCCCCAAAACAGCCTTTTTGGCCACTGAACAGGAAGCAGTCACGGAGCTTGGAAAACTGTATGTTTATGACAAATTACTTGCAGAAACGTGTACAATAGTAAAAATGTGTTTATTCAGAGATAGTCACGCTAGAACACTGAAGGACTTTCAGGAGGATTTTTAAAAAGGAAATTCACCATTTGTTGAAGAAATGTGGAGAAGGGAATTTAAAATTTAAAAAAAGAGAAACTGAGAGAATTGCAATCGACAGTCTTCTGTCCCTAAACACCAGCATGCAGAAGGCTAAGTGGTGGTATTTTTTCGGACTTCCCACTTACTTTCTGGATCAGTGGTTTAATGCTTCAATATTTCCCTCCCATTGGTCACTCCCCACCATTGTGGGAGCTTATTGGAAGAATGAGAGAGCTTTGAATCCAGATGATCAAAGCCTTTCCTGATCTATACATACCCCTGCCATGCCCCCTTTTTTGGCTGTTACCACCAGCTGAGCCCTGTTAGAGGAGTGAGGTTTCTGCTTCCTCAACGGGGGGGCTTTCAAGATCTTTCTCTCTGTGGTTGGGGAGGGAGATTATCTGCTATGGCAGCTGGGACACCCCCCATGGGACCATAGGATTTCTCTCAATCAGTTAAATGACTAAAACCCTTTTGATCCATAAAAATGGCGCAGCCAATTAACCAGGCAACATAATTTTTAAAATGTTAATGCTTCTAATATAAGGTACATTTGGATGTGTAGATGATGGCACATTCATATATCATCTAAGAAATAAAGATGCTGCCACACAGCCTGTCACTATATTGAGTCAGCCCATTCAACCGTTGAGCCCACGACTGTATACCCAGCCTGACAATGGCTTTCTATGGCAAGAGTGGGCAACCTGTGACCTGAGGGACACATATGGCCTGTGGCCTAATTTCACGCGACTCTCAGCTTAATTTCAAAAGCCCTCTGCAAGCAATCAGTTCTTGCCTCTTGCGAAAGCAGTCTGCTCCTTCCTCAGCTGCATTCTGGGCAGGGAAGAAGCCAGGCTGGGTGGGGTGGGGGGATCAGTATGGACCACTTTTGCCCTGGTTCCATCTATTGCTGGCTTCACCCCCACTTTCAATAAGCAGGTGGGACCTATAGACTACTCCTGAGAAAAAGCAGCAGCAGTTTCCCCCATCACTTACTAACTAAGGTTTCTGACTGGAGATTAGCAGAGATGGGACTTTCTGTATGAAAAAGCCTGCCATCTACTTCTAATCTAGGGTCCTCCCCCACAAAAAACCCCCAGAAAGCAATGTTTTTTCTCTAAAAACATTGTTGTTTTATTCTATGCAAATTTGAAATGGGCTTTTATTCTATGCGAATTCTATGCTGATAAATTGATTTGTTTCACTGAGTGACAGTCCTATCTTTCATGTTTTGGGTGGCACTTTTGCATGGATGAATCAGAGCTGACTGTTTTCTTCTTCACCAATGTCAGTGGAATGCCATTTAATTTAAACAGCTTAAAAACATTTTCATTTGCCTGGGACTCAAAATAGCAACCCGATTCTTCCCAGGGGAGCCTGGACTGGTTGGGTTTAATTGGAAGGAAAAATATGGTATGCAAAACTCTCTGGCCCCAATCCAGAAGTCTTTGTGTAGTAGAACATCTGCTAGGGCAGTATGTAGTCCAGTCAAAAATAGCCAGTGTGTGGATCAGTGGGCAGCAAAGTGGGGGAACTGCATACAACCCCTTGCCATTGATGAAATTGTCAACTTTTGCCTATATGCACCCAACAACTAGATGGGAAGAGGCAACCCCTCTGCTTGTATATTTCAACCTTTCCAGATGGGCTATGCCACCTTCATCATACACCTACCTCCTTAGGTAGATTGGAATGCATATTTGTAAAATATTTGCTTTGCCATTGCTAACAGCAAGATCTCATTTCTATTAATATAAACACACTGTCATGTTTCCTTTTCACCGATGCTGTTTTTCTAGAAAAAGGGGTGCTGGAATTCACCATGAATGCTTCGAGTTCTGGCAAGTTAGGGCTGGGAAAAAAGCCCTGCTTTTCATCCTTATTTTGCTCTAGATATAAGAAATGACCAAATACTTACACCTCCCACAAAACAGCCGATGTAAGCTGGGTCCTGCTCATTGTATAAGAGTGCAGAAAATGGTTCGTGAACTGTAAACATTGGTTAAGTGTATACCAGTTCATTTCACTCTTACATTGTATTCATGGCACATTTTTACTGTTTCATGATTATAATGGATCTCTTTATTGAATTATTGAACAACATTTTTAAATAAAACATCAAAGGATATTTTTCTGCTATCAGTTCTCCCAGAGTCATGGGATATATCAACCCTCAGGACTCTATTCCCTGCCAGAATACTAACTTTGCCAGATTCATTATTTCTAAACACACTTTACAGAAAAAGTACCCAGTTCTTTTTTTCCTTTCAAAGTAAAACAAGTGTTCTTATAAACTAAATTGTTTTTCAGGGGTGGGGGTTGGGGAATTGTGTGTAAGGTCTTTCCCCAACATCTAATTTACATTTCTCTTACATTCTGGAAGCAACATATTAATCGCACCCTTTTATAACATGCACAAGTTAAGTCTGCAAATATAGAATTGTAGCCAGTGCTAGTCCTCCACAGAGTAGACCTGCTTAGCTTAGTGGCTCTCAGTTAATCACTTCTATCCATTTCAGTGGGTCTTCTCTGAAGATGACTAATGTTTGGAAACCTACATCCAAAAAATTGTTCAGATCAAGTCGGACCTTCCATCCTCCCACTACGCTGGACCTACCAGCCTCAGCTCCCAGAGACATGACAGAGGAGAGAATAATTGAGCTTTTCCATTGTACTGCTGTGGTGAAGGATATGCCCTTTTTATATAACTGAGAGCCATCTCAGGAATGAGACTGAGTGAAGACAATTTAAAGTGAGGGTGGAAAGGGGCAAATGAGGGCAGGTCAGGGTGTAACGGGACGGGGTGGGCTTATTCATGTTCTGCCAATGCACACAGGTCCAGGAACAGAACCCCCGCGCACATAGGAGCCAACTCCTGGTCCCTTTGCCCCGCCAATAAAATATTTGAGGGGGCTGGGCCCCCACAAAGTTGAGGCGAATTCTCATTCAAATAGTATGTGTGCCACGTCATGGGATGGTTTATGCAGGGCAGGGCTCACCTGCGTGCCCCAATATTTTCTTCAAGTTGGCACCCCTGCCCACACAAAATGGTCGCTGACTGTACGTGTGTGTGTGTGTGTGTGTGTGTGTGTGTACTTATGGGGTATATGGGGTGTTAACAAAGGGGTAGTACCTCTGGTAAGAGACACACTGTGCTTCTTCTGGGGTAGTCTGTCCAACTTTGGTCCCTACCCTGCACTCAGCTGTCACTTATGGCTGTCAGCATGTGGCAGTTGCCACACCCCGGGAATGGCTTCGATTGTCCAGATTGAGCGGATGAGACCGAAAGTCAAGAAGGTGGTTTCTGCAGGTGCTGTAGAGGGATGTGAGAGGTGGTATACCAAATCTAGTTGGGTCCCAGGCACAGGTCTAAAATCTTTCACAAAGACCATCTGCAGAGGTATCGAAGGGACAAGACATGTGACGGGTTGCTCCAACCCTCACTGGAGCTGGAGCCTGGGTCCCTGGGAACAGAATCACAGGCCCCACCTGGGCAAGTGGCTCCACCATTTTAGCTAATGTAACCAAGGGCAGTTCGGCAAAGCTGGAGGGTGGGGGCAGGGGCATAGGAAGGGGGGCAGGGGGCAGGCTGCCCTGGGTTTCATCCAAGAGGGGGGTGACAAAATCCCCCCCGGGTGGATTGCTCCCCTGGGCAGATCGCCCCACCCCTGTGGGGGGTGAGCCCCCGTGGGCAGCTCGCCCCGCCCGCCACTAGGTGGGGGCTCTTCTACACAGTCTGAGGCAGATGTGTGCTATTTTTTCACAGGGAGGATGTATTTTGCTGTTTGTTGTCCATCTGGGGACAGATGTCTGGTTCTAACACCCCTGCCCTGATGAGATAATTTATCCAAATGGCAATTGACCAGAGGAAAATGTTAACACGGACACTACACATCCCTATATATTGGCTGACTTTCCCAGAAGATAGACACACGGTTCTTGTTTGTGGGATAGGCAGTTCTCATGTAGTGGGGCGGATGGGGTGCTAGGAGCATCTCACAGGGGAGAGCATCCCATAGACAGGAGCCCACAGCCGAGAACACCTTTTATCATATGATCACCTTGTGCATTTTCCTCAGGTGGGGCACACAAAGAAGGGGCCCTGATGAAGACCTAGATGTGACACTCTATGTGTCATTAGCAACCACACCTTAAAATGTGTGTGCATTTTAAATAGCAGGCTCAGAAATATTTAAGTGGGGATGCTATTTTGCTATGGTCCTTTTCTTGTCTCTCTGTGCAAGGATGTTGCCTGCATATTCAGCTTTGTGCAGCCTCAGTTCACTGGGAATACAATCAGCTGCCACCTTGATATGTCCTTATATTGCACAAAACTCGTTTGTGTTAATGGCTACAGAATAAGTGGAGCATATTGTATCCTACAAGGGCAATCAATTGCCAACAAAACTGGATTCCAATTCCAGATGGACTGCTTTGTGCGCCACTCAAGACATTGTTTCACTTGTTCTCATAGAACCCTGGCTGCATTAGGCAAGAGATATACCGTTGTTGTTTTTTAAAAGGCAAACATAATGTTATGCACTCGAAATGAGAGAAATGTAAAATGTACTGTTGTCAAATAAAACGTGCTCTGTCCCTCATCCCCCACTTTTAAATCAATGTTAAGGTCTTCATGTAGTCATCTCTTCCACTCAAGTTGATTCTAAACAAAAACGCCAGCCTTTGTTTGTAATTTTATGGCTGTTTTCAGATGAAATTAAAAAAACAAAACTTGTTCCACTAATAAAGGATTCATTAAAACCAACATTAATGTTCAGATGGAAAAATGCCCAGTTTGTCAAAGCAATTTATTATGCAGCACCACAGGAGGCAAAGCAGTTCACAGAACAAGTGCGACTCCAGTGGACCTGTTACTGAACACAGAAGGTCTGGTTATTATGATGTCCTTGAAATGCTTAAAGAAATTGAGCCCACTTATTAAAAGGGGTGGGGGAGGAAAAAAGATGCGGCGTTTGAAGTACTCAAAGAAAGGGATTAGGCAGAGTGCTGTGGTTGTCCATGTAAACAGCTTTTCTATTCCAGCATGTTTAGATACATTTGGATCAGAATTTCTACACAGAGGACTCGTTTTGGGGACACACGAACCCTTAACACCCCTAGACTGGATTCAGATACTAACTGGTGATGGCTTGAAATTAATTATCAACTGTGTTCTCTGCCTGGGGTCAGCACTGTTATTTTTCATCTCATCCCTAGGATTCAGTGCGAGTCACAATTCTTATTGTTAGCATCTATCTGTCTGGGGGGGGGGGGCGTGGATGCAAGAGTACGTCTTCGGGGGTAAAGTCAAACCATTAGTGAGTTACGGCGCCTGCTGTCACTGTAGAAACCGACATGGGAGAGACATGTTTTATTGCAGGTGGAGCAGATGAAGGGGCCCAGTTGTGTGTTGCAGGTGCACCATGGCGTTTCTTCTTGCTGAACTCCTCTCAGCAGTATTTTCACCTCTGGTCACTGCTGTGGCCTGTGCAGTTGTCCCATGTGTGATAATTGCCCACAGCTCTGGCAAAAGTTACCATTGATCAGGGGCAAAACTAGGATTCATTTCACCCGGGTCAAAGACCCAGTTTGGCACCCACCCACTCACGACCATTTGCATACACACACACACACACACACACACACACACACAGGCTGGGAGCCTCAAGGGCACCCCTTTGGAGGCTTCACCCCAGGCAAAAAAACCTGGCTAGCTCTCCCCCATAGCTACATCTCTGCATTAAAACATAAATATCATGCAAATCACGTTTATTGATACAGTTCGGCCATTTTATGAAAACCTGTTGTAACCGGGACAAAGCAAAGATACTGAGAGTCACTGTTTGCTGGTTCGGTGATAGTAGACCTCTGGCAGCCGCGCTGCACATCAAGTTCAAAGCATTAGAGAGTGCCACAATAAATATGCATTGTGATGGCTTTGTCTTTAGTCTACTGAGGTCAGGAGGAGGTAGCGGCACACCATGGAGAGGCCGGCCGGCCCCACTCTCTGCCATGACGAAGCCTGTGTGTCCGTCTGTCCTTGTTCAAGAATGCCACAAACTGTCACTGCCAATACCAGACTAGGTTGGCCACCTATAGGCTAAGTGAGCACTAACTAAGGATTTCTGTTCTGTGCTATTACCGTAGATCATATTAACACCTTTTGCTACACATAGCATATAATAAAGGTGTTTAAACAACACCCCTCTCTATGTTCAGTAAATGCATAAGGGAAGGAGTAGAATTTTGTTCCTACTAGCCACACACAATATTCAAAGCTAAACCATAGCTTAGTGCAAATGAGCAAACATATGGGCTCCTGAAGATGTTATAGGTAGGACTCATCTAGGTGAGTTTGGCCAGGGCTTCCCACTTACTTAGAGGAGTTGTACAGAAGAGGGCATATAGCCCACCCCCCCACCATTATGACAAAATGTGCATTGTTAGGAGCAGAGGCAAAGCAGGCAAAATCCTGTTCCCCCATCATGCATGTCTAAACACCCCTATTCTAAACATCTCCAAAACTGAGTGATCCAAACAAAGCAGCAGTTCCTAGTATACACAATTTAAAATCCTAAGATATCTTAAGTAACAGTGGAGCTTATCGTTGTGGAACATTCTCATTATGAGGGGGGTTTTCTTAAATAGCTTTCTCAATCCTGTTCTTTCTTGAGTCACAATATACTGTAGTTTTGTGGTGAGAGCTATCATTTTCTATGCTTCCAGTCTACAGTGTTCCTGGGCGCATGGAAATGTATATCTATGAGATGGCCTTGTTAATTTTATGTTATTACCTTTTAATTTCAGTGTACATGTTGGAATGAATCAGGCTGTCATGTCACAAGGATCAGCAATTTGGCCTGAAACAAGAGTTTCCTTTTAAGACTGAAGAGTAATGCAAGAGCCAACGCTTTTCTAAACAGTTCACATAAAACACACTTGTCTATTGAACGATGTAAAGAAAGTTACCTAAGAGGCTTGTTCAACATACATTTCAGTAGCATCACTGCAGTCTTGTACTGCCAAAGGAGATAAGGACAAGAAAAAGCCCCTGTAAGAAGCCAACAATCAGAAGATCAAGGTGTGCTCAGAAATACTGGGAAGTCAAACTTTTATTCCCATAATGCTCCTGTGGTGCCGCTTATGTAAAGTCTTAAAACAATAGAGTTCATCTTACCTTTGTGATCAGAAATTCTCTTTTTTCCTTAAAGATTTTCTCACTGTCCTTATAAATTAGATATTCTCTATTACCCGATGCCCACGGCCATAAAGTATCTCAAGGATACAATATTAATTATCTAATACATACTGTATCTGGTATTTCAAAGGATCTTTTTTGTGTTTCAATTTGCAACATTTCTGCAAGGTGCTTCCTCAAAGAAATCACCCTATTCCTTCTTTCGTTTGCCCAGCAGATCATCATGTGAGCTTGCTTTATTTATTGCCGCTTCTGGACTTTGAGAATACCTCGTTTGGCTTTATCTTTTAAGCCCTAACATTCTTTCACTGACCTGTGGCAGAAATCTGAAAGGTAGCGTCTTGCTCCATCCCAACATGGCTGCCTCCCCAACCCGTTAGTGAATATTTCAATTGGCTTCAGTCTTTTGAGTTCTTCAGATAATCCTAGTTACAACAAAGTTCTTAACAGCGTCAATCCTGCCACTGAGCCTTTCATGTTTTCCTTTCATCAGCCTTCAAATGCTACCAAGTTCTCACTTTTTCTACCCTTGAGAACTTCTACCCTTGAGGACATCTCCCCCAGTAAACTTTGCTTTTCCATTCATGCTTCTGTGGGGTATAGCCAAACTAACACAACAGATTGCATGTCCCTTGTAAACAATAAAAGGAGAAATTCATTTTTGACCACCCTTGCCCTTGCATTTTACTAAGGCAACAGAACATATTTGTTCTATTTCAAGGGGGGATTTTGCACAGACATGATGGTGCCGTCGGGTGATGCCTTCTACTTATGAACTATCTGTCAAAGATCAAATGAAACTGACAGAAATTTAATATTACTTGACATCACCTCAAACTCCCAGCTACTCCCTCTGCAGCGTCTACAGAGTCCTATGCCACAGAGAATCTCTAAACTCATCTTCTTTAGGCAGCAAAACACACGGGGGAGTTGAAGGCTAAGCCTCTTCAAGGGCCCTGTCAGCCTGTTGATACTGAAGTTCTGTTTGCTGTTGCACTGACTACAAAAGACTTTGAGCTTCCAGATTCTTTGTGTGTGTGTGTGTTATTATACAAGCTCAGCAGCTTGTCTAATGCAAATTTTACACAGTGTTGGTGTGGGAGATTATTAGCACCAAACCCCTATATTTTGAGGTGGGTGGTTAGATGCTCGAGAGGTTTTGCAGGTGGTATTGATTGTTACACTTTGTATACTTGTTTGCTCCTCCCCTGAACACAACCATTTTGTTTCTGGCAGCCTGAGTGTTGCAAGCATGCCTATTTCCACCCACTGGCTGCAGTCTGAACTGTACAGTGGTACCTTGGGTTACAAACAACTCAAGTTGCAAACACTTTGGGTTATAGACTCCGCTAACCTGGAAGTAGTACCTCAGGTTAAGAAATTTACCTCAGGATGAGGACAGAAATTGCATGCCGGTGGCAGTGGGAGGCCCCATTAGCTAAAGTGGTACCTCAGGTTAAGAATGGTTTCAGGTTAAGAACAGACCTCTGGAATGAATTAAGTTCGTAACCAGAGGTGCCACTGTATTTGAAAGATCTGTGGAGACCATAATCGCAGTACATCGATCACAAGCCTCCATTTTGCCTATTGTGTATTGGCTTGCACTGATATTTCCTCTTCCTTTTTTGCCACTCCAGTGAAGCAGCACTTCTTTCTCCTCCTTCTGTACTCCTCTCCCTCCCAGTGCTGTTGGTTCATAATGGTATGTGATTTTTTTATTCCTCTTACCCACCTCTCCACCAAAAAGTGATCAAAACATTGCTGGATGATGGAAAAACTGGTTAATTTTTCAAGATACATTTTTCATGGTTATATAGAAAACCGTATTAAATATCTCCCTCCCCCCAGCTCATCTATTATATTTAAACCAGACTGAGTAGTTTTGCTGATATGCAGTATTATGGGTTTTGGCATTTGCACATTTAATTAATTTCAAAAGTAAATGAAGCAATCATAAGGACTTAAGCAGAGCCTGCTGGAGTGGGGCAAAAGCCTATCTAGTCCAGCATTTTGTTCTCACAGTGGCCAACCAGATGCCCATGGGAAGCTGGCAAGCGGCACTCTCCTCACCTGTGAATCCCAGCATCTGGTATTGAGAAGCATACTGACAGTGGATGTATAACTTTATCAGAAAAGGACTTACACTACCTATGTCAGCATACCCTCTGATGAAAATAGGGACATTCTATTCAACAACAACCATTTATAATTTATACCTTGTCATCTGACTGGGTTGCCCTAGCCCCTCTGAGCAACTTCCAATATATATATATAAATAATAATATATTAAACATTTAAAAAACTCCCCTATACAGGGCTACCTTCTAAAGCTTGTATAGTCACTTATCTTCTTAGCTCGGGGGTTCTCAGAACTCCATACCCTCCAACAGTTCTCCAATGAAAATAGGGATGTCCTAAGGAAAAGCAGGACATTCTGGGATCAAATCAGAAACACAGACAGCTTCTGTAAATCCAGGACTGTCCCTGGAGAATAAGGACACTTGGAGGGTCTGTGATTTCTATTCTGCTGGTTTACTTTTGGTTTCTAGTCTTGGCCACTGCTCCCATCTGCTCCTCAAAAAGCAGGGTATACCTGCTATCTCAAAAAGGCATCACCACTCCTTTATTTACATTATCATTGTCTTTCTAAGCTTTCCAAATCTTGTAATTTCTGGAAAAGTAGCATCATTGGATCAGAATGAGCAGCATTCACATGAGCTACCTGTTGGTCTAGAAAGGTCTCCTTCAGAAAAGTGCAGCGAGTCTGAGATTGGCAGCCACAAAAGGAGTGGTTTCAGAGATCACTCCAAACCTCTTGTGGATGAGCTGGCAAGCACTCAGCCCCTTCTTCCCTGCAGACACTCATGAATGCCACACAAAGCCAAGGCCATCCATAAGGTAGACTGAGGAAGCCACCTCAGGTGGCAGAATCCAAGGGTCACCTCCACTGGTGCCCCCACCAGAGAAACAGCTGCAGTGGCTTCTGGGTTCCAGCGAGAGTCCTGTGAAATCTCTTCAGCTCTTGTGAGATTTCACCAGAACCTGGAAGCTGCAGCTGAGCAACCCCATTAAGTGAGGTGGTGGGCATTGTGCGTGTGCTGGGTAAAATCCTAAATATGAGTGAAAGGGCTATGCGCTCAAACAGCTAAGGATCATGCCCAAGTGGGATATGCATATTGCTGAAACTTTTCTTCTAAGGACCCTGCAGAAAGTGCCTGCCTCAGGACTCCAGACACAAATACCTACCACCAGGAATCGCAGCTGCACTGCTGCAGGGGACAGACTAACCAGGACCTCAGAGTGAGACCCCCCCCCAAAAAAAAACACCCAAAGCCATGCAGAGATCCCACAGACCCATGGCTTCATATGTCTCCCTCTGTAACAAGAATGAATTTTGCCTTAAGAACCCTTCCTTACTCACCAGGTAAATTGTGTCTTGCAGACAGAGTGCACTGGGCAAGTATACACTGCGCAGAAACAGGGCCACTGTTTTGTTACAAACCTCCCTCCAAAATACAGGTTGTATTGTTGAAGGCATTAGCTTGAACGTACTCTTGGGCAACATTTTATACACGCCATAAATACTGATACGAGTCCAAGTGCTTAAATTAACTTCCATGACAGGAGTGTACTATTCACGCAGGATTTCAGAGTGATCGCTGAGCTGTTTATTCCTAGATTGGTAGCCCTCTTAAACAACATAGCATTTTATATTTGTATAATGGGATATTTGTGAGGAAGCAACTTGCAGCATGCCGTGGCCTACTTTTGAAGGGGAAACCTGATGAATCTATACAGTGGTACCTCGGGTTACATATGCTTCAGGTTACATACGCTTCAGGTTACAGACTCTGCTAACCCAGAAATAGTGCTTCAGGTTAATAACTTTGCTTCAGGATGAGAACAGAAATCGTGCAGCGGTGGCGCAGCGGCAGCAGGAGGCCTCATTAGCTAAAGTGGTGCTTCAGGTTAAGAACAGTTTCAGGTTAAGTACAGACCTCCGGAACGAATTAAGTACTTAACCTGAGGTACCACTGTACTAAAAAGTTAATGCAAAGTACAACCAACATTCCTAAAATGATTAACTCTAACCTTTCATCACTTCACATATGCCTTAATCTTTACTTTCCTGTGTCTTTTGTTCCTTATAAGATTCTGCTGGGTTTTGTTACAGGATTTCGGGGGTGAATAATATACTGTAAAGCACCACCATGCTTTCTTTTACCTTGCTGTTAAATATTTTTTTTTTTGAATGGCCTTTGTTTAAAGGCAGGCGAAGCAGTGGTCCAACTAAGATGCTAGCCACTATCCTAGGGTTCACACTAGTGCGAATATAGTTGCAATCCTATGCTGAAACAGCACCCAGTGGTCAGCAAACCTTTTCAGCAGGGGCTGACCCACTGTCTCTCAGACCTTGTGGGGGGCTGGAATGTATTTTTTTTGGGGGGGGGAATGAACAAATTCCTATGCCCCACAAATAACCCAGAGATGCATTTTAAATAAAAGGACACATTCTACCCATGTAAAAACAACCTGATTCCTGGGCCATCCGCGGGCCAGATTTAGAAGGCGATTGGGCTGGATCCGGCCCCCGGGCCTTAGTTTGCCTACCAATGACCTAAAGCAACACAATTTCTGCCAATGTAGCAATACCCACAGACACCCCTAGCATATCCCCTCCTACCCACCAGTCATGTTGTTGCATGCCAGCAAGTCTCCCTTATTACTGTACCAGGCATGGGACACACCAACTGATGTGTGAGAACAGTTGGGTGAGTCAGCTTCCCTTATGACATCAACATATGCTGTATCATATGCAATCCTGTACATATGCAACCAATACAATGAACAACCACAAAGCTACAAAGAGACCACTTCCTTAGTGCAGACTACCATGGAGCAGAGGACAAGAGGGCAGCAACTGGACTGCAACGGCCACACATTCCAGGGCTTTGACACACTCCAAGATGAAACATAGGCAGCCTGAAAATCATCTCCCGCAAAGATAGAGCCAGGCGGGAAAGGAAGAAATGCTATTCCAACTGGAGCACCCAATCAGCTATGTGGCCTGGGGAGTAAGATATAGCTCTGAAGAACCCATAGGCTTCCCAGAAGGGGAGTTCAAATCCCCGCTTTCAGAATAGTGTTCTAACCACCAACTTTTTTTTTTTAATGAATTAATTTAGCCTATAGAAACATATTATGTATTCATTTCACTTTGCCCTGATGGATGATCTCCCTGGAGAAAGTGTGTGTGATGCTTTTGCTGCTGTAGGATCTGAATGAATCTTTGTTTGCGTCAGCCATTGGCCATAGCAATAAAACAGCAATACGATATACAATAATAGAAATAATAGAAATACAATAATAGAAATAAAAAGTCAATTATATTTTAGGGTTTTGAATCAATAGTCAAATACTATAGTGAATCTTATTCTAATTGACCCAGCTAAAAGCCTTGCAACCTTTGTCATCACCTGCTCATCTTGATCTGCCAAGAGAAAGGACGCCGTGGCAGTGGTTGGGTGGCCCGGAATGGACAATAAAAGAGGGGTGATAACCTCATTCCTCAAGTTTGCTGTAGGATCTCTCAGTAGCCATTGATGCCTTTGATGCCCAAAGTTGTGGGGTATCCTCCTGGACTACCTTCTTGTGGGTTGGAAGTTGGAGGCAATGTTTTCCGGTGGTTCTGCTCCTACTTGCATGGCTAAGTCTCAAAGAACAGTACTTAGGGCATTCTATAACTACATATTGGGAGCTGTATTGGCAGGGTACTGCAAGGCACTATTTCGCCCCCAATGTTATCTAGCATGAAGCCATTGGGAGCAATCCTCAAGATGTTTGGGGCACACCGTATTCTGATGATGCCCAGGTCTATTTCCACATTAAATCTGAGTCAGAAGAGGCCCGGTGAAAGCTGAGCCAGTGGCTGGCTGCAGTGCTGGAGTTGATGAGGGCCAATAGGTTGAAGCCCTGCCAAGTCAAAGACATGGTGGGTAAGAGAATTGGGTTCCCAGGCCTGATAATTGGGGAGTTTGCCTATTCTAGGTGGGGTTGAACTGTATCTGATGGAGCAGGTATGCAGCTTGGGGCTTTTCTTGGATTCATCGTTGTCCATTGAGGCCCATGTAGCCTCTGTGGCAAAGAGCACCTAACATCAGCTTCAAAGAGCATCAGCTTCAGCTGCTTTTGCCAACTGCAGCCTTTCTTGCACAGGAATTATTTGGACGAACAATAGTCCAAACAAGACATTACTGGTGTAAAGCATCCCATATGGAGCTTCCTTTGCAGCTGGTCTGGAGGCTACAGCTGGCATAGAATATCACAGCCTGGGTGGTGCTCTTTATTGGGTACATATCCCAGCAGTGCTAAAGGTTCTGTCAGTTTTAATGTTCTGCTACTTACACACACACACACACACTCCTAAATAACCTAAAAAACTGTTCCCCCCTCTACTGCTCAGTAAGGGCATGAAGACCAAAAAATTGAACCCAGTTGATTTGCTATGTCCTGATTACTGGCTTGTGATAACATGGCACCAGTGTTGTGAAATGCCAACCCCATCAGTATTGGCATTCCACTGGCTCTTGAAGACACACCAGTTTAGACAAACGTTCCCCTGAACTTGAAACTTCTGATGTGTTTTAATTCTTAGATGCCTGCCTTTGGGACTAAAATCGATGAACTCAATGCTTTTTTCTTGGTGGTATCTGCACGCCCCCCATCAGAGCCTTGCACCTTGAATAATATTTGTAAAGCTTTTTGTATGAATTCAATAACAATGCTATAATGCAGTCTTCTGATGCCATTTGCTTTTGTGCGAATTCTTGTGTAGCACAGTTAAGTGTATTGTATAAATCAATAGCCTTAGGTCAAAATGTTTTCTAGACCCTATTTGGAAGCAGATATACTGAGCAACATAATACAAATAATATTCTCTGGATTGGAAACAGATCCCCTAAATTCAGAGGAACTGCTTTCATTGTGTGCTTGCAGCTTTTTGAAGAACTGTATCTGGGTGATTTGTTCCACATGTGCAAACCGGTTTGCAGAGCTAAGTCTTCGTGTACACTCTTGTTCTTGTACAAGTGCCATGCACAGAGAAGCACAAGAAGTTGATTGTCTTGTGCATTCAACGCTATGGATCATGGGCTTTGTCTATAGAAACTGGTCACAAAATAGTCACAAATTTTAAACACCTGTTACTATTCTGCCAGGCCATTGCTAGCAATTAAGAATACGGTACATTCTACCACAACAGTTAATTGATGTCTGCTTTTAACTTCTTTTTTCTTTGTGTTTATTGTATGGCTTTATGTTTTATTGCTGTAAAGGTCTTTGATATATATATATATATATATTATGATACAGCAGTATATAAATATTTTTAGAAATAGAATTTATATATGGGATAAGCAAGGTATGCTCTACTGCTAAACAAAATAAGATAACCAAAATTGACTTTTTAAAACAAACGAGGAATGTTCCGTCATTGACAATGGATATTTCAGGAATGTAGCTACAATGATCCTGTAGCCTACTTTATGTATCGCTGCTTCTTGACTGTGCTCTAAAAGGGTCAGATATATAACAAAGCCTATTTAAATTTAATTTTATATAAAGCACATGAAAAAGATCTTTTGCAATCTTCTCTGTGGTGGTGAAAGAAAAGAAGAATGAAGGAAAGCCTTTGGGTGTATATATACATATATTGAGGAAGTCTAATAATACAGATTATAGGAAAACAGTATACCTTTCTTTACAAGGCCTTGATTTGCAACCCTGAAATCTCAGATTTAGCCATTACAATGAAGTCCTGTTGCAGACAGAGCTGGTTTTTTATCACCACTTAAAATCTAATTAATCCGTATTGAGGCACAAAGATTTCTGTTGTTTTTTTGAGGTTAGGGGTCATAGAGCGTTCTTTGTTCATCCTCAGACTTGTAATCACCAGGCATTGGGATATAATTTTACCAAGCAAATTGGAAGGTAACAGATCAAATCCTTATCGCAAAACCTAACTCATGGTTAAGCAGAGTCCTTCGTCCTTTACAAGAAACATTATATTCAGGAAGAACAAAAACACATTTCAGAGCTTGGAAAGGGTTAATATGCAAAAGTTTATATTCAGGGCATGAAAGAGCTAAAGATCATCAGAGCTGCAGCCGCCATATAAAGTAGCAAGTCTTATAGAGTTGGCCAAGATTTTCCGGCCAGGCGTTTTCTGCCTTTAGAATGGCTTTAGTGTACCGAACCATGATGCAGTTAGCTGGGATTTTATTTTGTTTGTTGGGATGGGTGTTATCCTGCCTCACTACCTATTTACCTCAGTGGAAGAATCTCAACTTGGAATTGAATGAATTGGAGATCTGGACAATGGGACTCTGGCAAGCCTGTGTAGTTCAAGAAGAAGGGGGAATGCAGTGCAAGGAATTCGATTCCTTTTTGGCTTTACCTCCAGAGCTCAAAATTTCTAGGATTCTGATGTTTGTATCTAATGGATTAGGACTTTCAGGCCTCTTGCTCTCAGGTTTCGGACTGGACTGCTTGAAGATTGGTGAACAACAACTGGACCTAAAGAGGAGGTTACTGCTGTTGGGAGGAATACTCTTCTGGATATCAGGAGTCACAGCCATAGTCCCAGTCTCCTGGGTTGCTCACACCACTGTGCAGGAATTCTGGGATGAGAATATTCCAGACATCGTTCCCAGGTGGGACTTTGGGGAAGCACTGTTTGTAGGCTGGTTTGCTGGATTCTGTCTCATCTTAGGAGGCTCAATGCTAAATTGCACTGTCTGTTCTGCTGATGCTCAGTCATCCTCGGTCCATTATACAGTGGCAGAAGAGCAAGATAACTGCCAGTACCTGGAAAGTAACAACAGACCCAAAAGCCTAAGAGTTTGAGAGAGACAGAAAGGAGGATTCTTCTTTCATTTTCAGACACTTATAACACACGAGCCAGAACCTTGTTCCAATTAAGATTCAAAGGACTCTTTGTTCCTTAGCAGATTCATTACACTTGGGCGTCTAAATTTTCTTCCTGCGCCTTTTCTTTCAAGAGCTGTGTTTTACCCTCCTCATTACAAAACTGAGAATGTTGACTTCACCAACAGGATGAGATTAAAATGACTGTGTAAAAAATCACCACTGTGTAGATTTTATCTGATTCGTTTAAAATGTAAAAACAAAAAGCATCCCAAGTTCAAGTTAAGACAGGAAAAAAATGTAATATGATACCTCTTATTACACAGCTTCATACTACTAAAGCTAGTAATTTATTTCTATGGCCCACTGAATTTCTTCAAGTCAAAAAGTACAAGGAAGTATCCTGCCTGTAGGTTTCTGCTGCAAGAAACAAATCTAATTCATGCAAAAAGACTTTTAATATTAGTTACAAATTGCCCTGTAACACTGGCAAAATGTTTAAATGATTTCAGTGATAGCATCTATAGAATAACGAGTGACTCATCTTAACACATGGGAAATGCAAAGTCCCCCTCACTCCCTAATCTGAACGCTCTAGTGTCTGCCTATTTTTATATATCTATATATGTAAGTTAGTAGCAAACAGAAAACAACCTGTGAGATAATGTGTTAAATGTTGCTCTTGTAAATAATCAATGCTGTTCTTCTCTATGTAAACAGTTGAGTTTTAAGCATGCATAATCACAATGTTTTTCCTAAAACCTGATAAATTCTACATTTATTTTACTACATGAAGGCAGTGTCGTCTTTAGTTTACAGCTTGAAGGAACGGGATTGCTTCATTCGTGTCCCATGCAATCTAAATTAACTTTTATTAAGTAGCTTTGTATTACGTTGTTTAATTTATTAACGCCACCAGACATTGAAAAGCAATTCTAGAAAGGGATTGACTAGTGTTATTTGAATAGAGACCAAAAAAACAACAACCACAGTTCGTTATTCAGTTTCAGTGGAGAATGGGCTTTCTTTCTTTGAAACAATGGCTTGGCACTGTTTCTTTATGTGCAAAGTATTTCTATGTCAGCAAATATGAAATATGGCTTCATGTTCTTTAGCAAAACCAAGTAAAATTTCAGTGTGAGAATATGAACATCTGTTTATAGCCAGTATTAACATAAGTTCCAAAAGATGTAACTGCAGCAAGTTCAGAAATTAACGCCACAGCTTTTACAACTCCGACTATGCAATTTATGAAAACTTTACAGTATTTAATAGGAAATGATAGCTAGGGTGTTTAATAACTTGCAAGGCTGGAATAGCTTTGGGTTTTATATGATTTGAAGCAAGGTGCCAACAGTACCATGTGAATATTCCAAGAAGGAACTATGTAAGAAGAATTATGTAAAAAATGTTAATATTTTTCCTTTAGCTTTGCCTGAAGAAGTCAAAATTTAGAGAATTTTAGCATCTGTGATGAATGGATAATTGCTTGAAGAAAGGAGACCAGAGGGACAAAAAAACAACAACACAAGTGCCATTGTGACTGATTCCAAGGTTTGTCTTGTTCCAGTTTACTTAGTGTACCCATATTGCAGAAATTTGGTAGGACACTTATTCAAAAGATTGCCACCAGATGGGTATAGTGTTTATTTGTTACTTTAGTAGATTCCTGCTTCTCTGCCCATCTTTCATCAGAGATTCATTCATCATAATTCTGCAATCCATTAGGTCATGGCAGAAATTCAAGATATCATCAGAACATTGAAATCGACAATACAGTCATGGGTAAACTAATATCTTAAGGATGACTGAGAGATGTTGATAAACAAGTACTTTAGGAAAGCATGCTTCCTTTAACTTTTTCTTTTAAAAGGAATAAGCTTCTGCCTGATAGAAAATGTTCAGATTTTGAGTGAAAATTCCCAAAACTTAAGTGATTCTATGTTTGTTTATTGGGGTATCTATGTTTCCATGATAATTCGATTTGCAAAACTAGCTGCCTATCACATAACTTGAGATATTGCATAACATCAAATTATTTGTCACAAAATGAATTCCTGTTTCTGCTAGAATAGTGGTAAAACTGTCAGGAGTTTAAGATTATAAACTAAACAGTTCCTATTTGCCTAATCTATTCCTAAAAGTTTTCAGCATTCAGAAGAAAAGTAAAAAAATGATATTGACTGAACAGAATTTCCCATTCTGCAAAATGGAAGTGATTTCTTTGGCCCCCATAAAAATAAGAAGCTTTGTTCAATTATATCCTAAGAAAAAGGACATAAGTATGACTCTGGATTTTAGAGTCAGGTCACTGTCTTGATATAACATCCCATTTTTCAGTTGTGGCTGTCAGAACAGAATCATGCAGACATTGTCACATATTACTGCCTGCCCATGCATTTTACATGGGGGTATGCTGATAAGTATCAAAATACAATTCAAACTGTTATTGATAATATTGATCACTTTACCACCAATATTACATGGTCCAATTCTTATAAAAACACCAAGGAGTCTTTTGTATGCAAAAATCAAAACGTCTGGGCTTTTTTGTAAAAAAACAAAAACAAAAGAACACAAATGAGCACAAAAGCTTTGTTAAAAAACTGTATTTTTTTCCAAATCACTGAAACACATGGAAAGTGCAGAGATGAAAGTTAATCTAGGTGATGTACATATGCACGTTTACAGACAACATTAGCAACAGAAAGACATTCGTGATATAACCTGATTAAATATTTAGTTCAGTCCTGAGCATTTTTTTACTTAAATGTAACAAGAAGGCAAAAAGTTGAAATTTGATTTTCATTCTATAAATGATTTGCTATATACTTTGTTCAGTTGGCTAAAAAATAATATTGCCTTGTACCTGTAATACTTAAAATTTGATATATAGAACTGTACTAACATACTGATAATGGGAACATGAGGATTATTATGTTTCTTATATCCTATGAAGGGTAAATCTTACAATAAAAGCAGTATCTGTATAACATGAAATGTGGCTGGTATTTTTTTTTTATCAGTGTCTCACCAATGTTATTTCATTACTGTATATAAACTGAGTTCAAAACACAAACCAACAAACCCAGAACAGTTCAAAATTTATTCCTAAAAATGAGTTGATATTACTGTAGTCTGACAAAGTCAGAAGATGTATTACTGCAGTGGCAATTGCTCTCATTTTATAAATGAGCAAATTTTGCAGAACTACCAACAATATTATTTCTGCCAATATTCATGATTTATCAGAGAATCCTTTTTGGTTCCCTCTGAAATTCTCTCTCTCTCTGTGTATGTATGAACAGCTTCTCTGCTAAGAAACCAGAAAGCTGTATACATTTCTCACAGTAGCCTTTTTTTTTAACCCGTAAATTTTAAATGGCCAGAACTGAACTATATTAAGCAGTACATAAATAAGACTGAAAATAAATAAATCACAAGATACAGCTCTATACATCATTTCTACAAACATTTATATTGTCAAACTGAGAAGCTGAAACAGTCAAACTTCATTTCTATATTAAACAATTTGAAACTTTAGCTTTTAGAGATTGACCTCATCAGAATACATGGCATGTATGTGTTTAGATTAGGCCTAAAAAGAGAGGTAAAGAAAAAGGGGGCACAGTTAGTTTACTGACTACCTCCAGGTTTGAAGTAATATTTTAAGAATCTGAATAATTACACAGACTTCTGCATAATAAGAGAACACTTGGGGAGATTTACAAAAATAAATTAAGGCACAAGTTTTTCCCCCATCAGGATTTCCAAAGATGGCAACAAACGTATTTTAGTTCTGTTCCCCTAATCTTTTAATGAGACAATTACATTCTGGAAAAAATAAAATATGACATAATTTATTGCTGCAAATATTGTTGCAAAATGGTCAGTGTTCTAATAGTCTAGCCCCTTTGTTTCCTTGCTGGATTTCATATATAGTGTGTGCACTTATGATTCATGTACATAACCAGCCATTTAATTGTGCTCATCAAAATGCTTCCAAACAGTTCAGCCAACTTGCAAAATGGTGTCTGAAAGCCCATCTTTAGTAAGCAATACTTATGAGGCTTACAGTTTGATCCTATAAATGCCTACACAAAAGTCCTATTGAGTTCCGTGGAGTTTGCACTCTACTAAGTGTGCATAGGATTTCAGGCCTGATTCAGCAAAAGTAGCTCACTGCTGCTTGTTCTCTCAAGTGCTCTCCTCTGGGCTGCTCATCACAGCAGCCACCAAGCTGAAAGTAGACAGAGCTTTGCCAAGCCCCACTGTGACGACCTCAGACTTGATCAGCAATGTGCTTCCCGGTGACATTCAGAGCCCATCACTGGTAGTGCTAATATACACATGACACATTTGCAGATATATGCCTCTTTTAAAAGTAACCAGATTGTTACCACTTTGAATTCTGACAAGCACATTCATATCGTCTTTTACCTTTTATCAATACAAATTCCTGTTTAAACAAGTTAAGGTTCCAATTCCATAGATACCTTGATCATGCTTATTGTGCCATAATTAAACACATCATTTTAAGTGCTTCATATCATGAGTTTTCTTAGAAGAAACACACACACACACACACACACACACACACACACACACACGGTACTTAAGAGCAATGAATTTCCTAAGAATCACTCCTTTGAAAATTGCATGGGTCTGTTTGGGCTTTATCAACTTGACTTTTCCTACAGGCTACTGGCTGTAATACTAAACAAACTATTTTATATTCAAGGGTTAGTTTTATATTTCAGTTTATCTTTCAGCTCAGGTTTAAATACTTTGTGCGTGAACCTGAGTCCCATTTCAGAAAACAGCTGCCCTTTGGGTAGTTTCAGTTTATAGACACATTTCAGGGTTACAGACTTGCCCCATATTACTTCTCCCAGGTTATAGATGCAGAAAACATTAGGAAAAACCCAAATATAGCCCAAACTCCAGTACATTCACAAAATAATACTCCTGCAACTCAG